TTTTGTGATGATGCATGAGTGGTATTTTGCTTTTATATACTGATAGATTTAATTAATCTTTCACTTTTACCTGAATCTAAAATTCATGTATCAAAACATGTGGCAGAACCTGAATTACAAGTTTCAAGTTTAATAAAGTCGAATGATTTTAATAAAGGGCGTCTCCCATTCGAAACACAAACTAGATCTGAAGATCACAGTTCTATCTGTAACTCTGGATGAAAGTTGGTTTAATCCCAAATTTGGAATTTTTTCTGGACTCCCGGCCATTTCTTGGAAAGCAAAGGGAAGCCACGGGCAACAAAACTTCCCAAAATTTCATCTGGTGTACCAGTTGCATCATTCCCAGAATTTATGAGTCACCATGTGCATAGCCTTTCATGCCCTGGAGTTTTCTCTTGCAACACAACCAGGTTGGGCTGTCCTTCCAGACTACTATATTGTGTTTAGAAAAATATCCAGAGGATGGAAGGAATGGGTAAAAACACACTAAATTAACAAAATCCCTTCTTGTTTAGATTAGTGGCAATCACTGTTTGAAAAGCCTATTTACTGAAAGGGCCGTATTTACTTTGACCTCATAAAACGTTGCTTCTTCTGAGAATTCTAGATCTCACACATCATGCATGCATGCCAGACATGTTAAATCCATGCCACCAAATTCCTGATATTTTAACGGTTCCTTAAAGAAAGCAAACTTTTGAAACATCACTGTTGGAAGATGCCAAGGACCAACCTATTCCCGATCAAACTGCATACCTTTTGCCCACGCAACCTACAGACTTACCTGTTCTCCCAGCTTCTGCCTTCTTGATGACTTTCAAAGGATTAACAAGTTAATAATTCCCAAATATGTATACAATGATTTCCGAGCTCACCATCTGCCTACTGGATCGCAAGCTAAGAGTCACTGGCAGAATTGTCTCAAAGGCATGGAAATATGAACCAGTGTTTGGGGACACTGACCTGGAAGAGGAATAAATCTTTTGTGAATTTCCAAGCTCTCACACAGCCTGATTTCTTGAGATGAAGGAAAACACCTTCAAATATACCTCTAGCACTGATGAGGTTACCTAGCTGGGTCATGAAATGTCTGTAGGAAAACAATTACCCTGTTTCCCCTCCCCAAAAAATGACCAAACCCTGACATGAAGTCCTAGCTTGATTTTTACACATGTGCCCCATATAAGCCCTACCCACAAAATAAGCCCTATTTAAGATCCTGCCCACTCTAGAGTGGACGGGTAAAAATTAAGCTAGGATGGGGATGTGGGGAGTGGAGCTGCCCTACTACTTACCTTTGGACAGTTATAGCCAGGCCTCGCACACCCTGACACCTGCCTGGCCGGCCCATTTCTTCTGCAGCAGGCAAGGCTGGTAAGGCTTTCCTGAAGGCTTCTGTAACCGATAACAAAGCTCTGGATCGATCTGGAGTTCTGTTATCAGCTGCAGAGGCCTTCAGGAAAGCCTTGCCAGCTGCAGAAAAGGAACTTCCTGAAGGCCTCCGACAGCGAAAAGGAGGCCAGGAGCAATATGCGCAAGTGAGGTTAGTCAGTGGATGACATCCCCCAAAATAAGACCTAGTGACTTTTTTTGGTAGCAAAAAAATATAAGACAGGGTCTTATTTTCGGGGAAACATGGTAATTCAAGACAGCACAAAGAACCCAATAGTTCACTAATCTCTGTGGTTTGAGAAGGAGAAATCTATTTATAGCTCAAGGTGTTTGACAGACACTTAAAAAGATGTTCACCTGGATTACGTATTCAACTTGGGTTGAGAGCATTAATGGCACATCTTCTAAAAGCAAAATGAGCTATCTGATTTGAAGGATGAAGTTAAGTGTGAGATTTAGGAAAGTAGGCTAAACTGCGAGATTCAGCAAGACTTTGGAAAATGTCTATGGAAATTCTCAGGCATCCAGGTCATGGTTATTCCAAAGGTATTCTTCAAAAGGCAACTGGACTTTCTTTTTCCTTGAAAACATTTTGCTTCTTCAGTTCTGACCGACTGGTGGAGAATGGAATGATTTATATCCTTTTAGTCCTCTGGACATTAGCACTCCTTCTGAGAGTCGTTGAGGCCACTTGGAGGTTTATTGTGCCCTCGGGGTCACTTGAATAGAGCAAATAGGTGTGTGTTGTGGTTCTCGGGCAGCAGGTGCAGACGGCTGAGGTCTCGGAGAGCGAGGACTCAGATGAGGGGCCTGTGTGTGATGCAGGGATGGGGCCAGGACCATCAGGGAGTGGAATGCTGCCTTTTGAGATTGTGGAGGCTGGCAGCAGTGATGAAGAGGAACCCGAGGAGCCTGTGCCCAGTGCGCATGCGCGCAGGCCTGCTCGAAGGAAAGAGCATCTGCAGTAGCACAGGTGACTCGGGGGTAAGGCTGCAAGGTAATGACCTCTCCTTTAAGAGATAAAAGCCAGCCTCCTTTAAGAGATAAAAGCCAGACCGGGATTCTTTGCAGGAAGCAAAAACGTTCTTGGACTTCAAGCCTTGTGGAAGTTCAGATTATCTTGGTTTGTGTTTGAAGTCTTTTTGTTTGGAATATTTCTTGGCAACTTTATCTAGTGTTCTTGGCAGCCTTGCATAACCTTGGCAAGGCTCTTTCTTATCAGAGCTAATTGGTTTGAAGCAGCCTTTTACCCATGAAGGAACGGGATTCGTAAAGAAATATTAAAAGGTTGTGCTGTTGGTACCTTTGTCTCGTGTTTGCTTCCTTGGAACCAGGTTTGGGTCGGAACAGTGTGATATGACACCACCCATATCTACAACACAGTCTGTCCGGCAGTTCCAAGAAGGCTTAAGAACAGTGGCAACACAGGTTGTAAAATGGGGTAAAACTCACTTAACGTCAAACTGAGCAACAGAAGTTTTGAGCTTCTCAAAATTATGCTTGTAAGTTGAGGTCTACCTGTATGGATGCTTACTGAACCCACCTTGAGGGACTGTATATCTTGTCTATATATAAATATATATGTTATAAGTAATATTACCAATGGATTGTACTTGACTACAGACTATAGTCTATAGAGTGACTAGAGGTGAAAGACTATATGGTATAACTATGAGAATAACAGTTATAATTACGGTGTAAAATAATATGTATATGCAAAAGAAATTACATTGTATAATTATGAGAAAATGGCTACAATCAGGGTATATAAAACTATGTATATTTAAATGAGATTTGATACAGCAGTACACCTTTGTTGCAGAAATGGAAATGTGATGTATAATAAATGAAAATGTATAATAAAAAACTTTATAAAAAAGAAGAAGAAATTGCTTTAAGTGCATATATTGTGCCTGAGACTATCCAACTATTTCCTTATCAGGTAGAGACAGACCTTAATTATATAGTCTCTCAAAACAGATAATAGATGGTGTACAAGCACAAATAATTCTTTTCCTTCCTCTTATCTTGAGCTATAATTTGCGGTTTCTAATTTTCAAAACAGCCTTAGCTAGCAAAGGCAGAATCTGTATCCCCCACGAATAAAGGGATTGCTATGGTGAGTTTAGGAATATATAGACTTTCACTTTATTTATTTGATTTTTTTTTCTTCATAAACATTTTGAATACAATGTATTGTCAGGGCACATCATTTACAGAAAATAAAGAAAGAACAAAAAGGAATATTAACACATACTAATAACAATAATCTTCATAAAAACAAAATACCACTCATGCATCATCACAAAATCTCCAGAACCGTAAAGCCTACAAACTTGAAATTTGGCACCTATATTCCTCTTGGCTTCTAGGGGCTCACTAAGAAAGGATTTTTTGAAATGATCATCAAAGCATTAGTATTTCCTATATTATTATTATTAACATGCTCTGATGCTAAGGAGTTCTACTCCCCCTCCTCACCTGAAAATAAATCTCTTCCAAATGCAAAACACAAGCAGAGAAAAGTTTCAGTTTGTTTCACAGCAGCACCAAGCAGCTTTAGTACAGAACAGTTGAGCTAAGCCACGCCCAGGCTCCTTGCTCACACAGCAAATACTCTTTCAGTTTCCAAACAGCCCTCAACTCTCTCACACACTGACAGGACGCTAGCCAGATGAATACTGATAGGCAGAGGCAGAATTTTTTTCCCCTTATTTTCCTCCCCGAAAACTAAGCCTGACCACATAGTTTCATAGCGAAGCATGGGTAAAAAATGGGTAAAAAGTAAAAAAATAAAAATAGGTGTTACTAGAATGATATAAGCTTGTGAAAAGAAACAAATGTGAGTAATACTATTTTATTTGTATCAAAATGTATGACACTCAGAAGGGCTACACTGTTCATGCAATGATATGTTTGTAGAAAATAAAATGTATGACACTCAGAAGGCCTACACCGTTCCTGCATTAATAAGTTTGTAGAAAATAAAAAAAAATAAAAAGGTGTATTATTACTTAGAATTGTATAAGCTTGTTAAATGAAACAGATGAGTTAATATTATTATCTCAAAATATTAATATTAATATCTCAAAATGCAGGCCACTTAGGTGTTACACCGTTCATGCATTGATAAATTTGTAGAAAATAAAAAAAATAAAAAAATAAAAAAGGTGTATTATTGCTAGAATGATACAAGCTTGTGAAAGGAAACAGATGTGACTAATACTATTTTATTTGTATCAAAATGTAGATGCTACACTATTCATGCATTGATGTTTGTCAAAAGTAAAAAAATAAAAAAACTTGAGGGAAAAAAGAAAGAAAATTTGCTTTTGAGCAACCTGGAAGGCAAACCCAGCGCCCCTTCCCCAACCTGCCCAAAGATCCCCCCTTCTCGCCCCCACAAAAACGCGCCGAGCAACTCCAGCCAAACTTTCCCGCCCTCCTCGCCCGTCAACGGGGCGCCCGCGGGCTTCTCCGCCCCCACCCCTCCGCGGGCGGGCCGCCGAGCATGCTCAGTCGGGCTCCAACCCGGAGAACGCTTCTGTCCGGGTGGGGCGGGGCCGGTGGGAGGAGTTTCTTCGGGGCTGGGCGTGGGGGGGGTGGGAATGTTGCGGGGATTGTTGCACTCCTTCCCCCCACCCGCCCGGGCTCGAAGAAGGGAAGATCGGAGCGATGCCTCCCGCCGGAACGACCTCTGTGACCGCTTACCACGTCCGGCCTCTCGGTGGGTCTTGGGGTGGGGGGTGTCCGCGGGAAAATGGGTACCCAATTTTGGGGGGTCTTTCTTCCCCCCCAAATCCCTTTGCACCTGGGTGGGAAACTTTGCCAAGTCTTTGGCTGGCCCTGTCCCATTTGGTCTTTAAGGGTGGTGGGGGGAGAGAGAGAGAGAGATCAAGAACCCCTCTCCACCCCAATTTCTTCCCTCTGGTTCCTCCCCACACAACCCTGAGGCCGGGGTGTGTGGGTGGGATGGATCCCCTCTCCCCGATTGGATCTCCCTGCCTTCCAAGCCTCCCCAAAAGTTGGGGGGATTCGCGTGGCCGGCCAGGGTCCTTGGTGGTGGGGGTCACCCCAGGACTTGGCTTTGCAAAGATGCCCGCCCGGTTTCGACCGAGTTTCTTTTTTGGTGGTGGGGTTTGATGCCTAATCGGGGCAGAAACGCCCTGGTGAATTTCCCGCGGTTCCGTTCCGTTCCTTTTCCTTCTTTCCTTCCCTTCCCTTCTGTTTCCTTTCCTTTCTTTCTCTTTCCTTCTCTTTCCTTTCCGTTCCTTTCTTTCTCTTTCCTTTTCTTTTCCTAATTTCTGTTTCCTTCTGTTTCCTTGAGTTTCCTTTCCTTCTGTTTCCTTTCCGTTCCTTTCTTTCCTTTCTTTCTGTTTCCTTCTGTTTCCTTTCCGTTCCTTTCTTTCTCTTTCCTTTTCTTTTCCTAATTTCTGTTTCCTTTCCATCTGTTTCCTTTCCGTTCCTTTCTTTCTCTTTCCTTTCCTTTTCCTAATTTCTGTTTCCTTTCGTTCTGTTTCCTTTCCATTCCTTTCTTTCTCTTTCCTTTTCTTTTCCTAATTTCCCTTTCCTTTCCTTTCCTTCTGTTTCCTTTCCTTCTGTTACCTTCTCTTCCTTTTCCTTTCCCATTCCCCCCCCCCTTTTCCTTCTTTCCTTTCTCCCCCCCCCCTTACATAAAGGGCAAAGCAAAGTTTTGCAGCTGTTGGCCCTTCCATGTGATTAAGTAATCACTCCTGGGAGTTTATTTGAATAGTTGGGGCCTGAGCTGCAAGTGTAGTAGGATTGCCTGGCTGGTTGGTAGAGAGTAGTGCAAATGGCAGGAATGTTCACAAGGCTCACCCCGCCCCCCCTTCCAGAGGCCTGCCTTTCACTTAGGTGAGTTGTGATTTCAGGTAGGTACAAATCTTTAACGATTGATTGCAAGTTGCTTTCATCCTGAAACGGGCCTTGAGTTTCTGTTTTTCTGGTTCCTTTTCCCTTTCCTAGCAAGAAAAAGAAAACAACCCACAATTTTTAACACGCCTTTACAATTTGCCCGATTCTACTGCTCATGTTTTGAGAAAAGGAGAAGAGTCCAGAATTAAAAATGACAAGAGTTGGAAGGGACCTTGGAGGTCCTCTAGTCAGACCCACTGCCCTGTTCCAGCAGGAAACCCTATACCTAAGATGGCAAACCTATGGCATGCGTGTTTGGAAGTGTCACGGAGAGCCATCTCTGCCAGTACGCGAGCCATCGCCCCAGCTCAGTTTCATTGCGCATGCGTGCGCTCGTCTCTTGCCATCCAGCTAATTGTCGGGTATCAGCTGTGCATGCGGGGCATTTTGGTACCCAGATGGGGCATAGGTCACTGCTTATAATGCTCTCAAGTCCATCCCTAGGAAGCTATAAGTCTTAGTCTTAGTATAGATAATGGATATAGTGATAGTAATAAATAGTAACAATATAGTAATAGCAATAAATAGTATAGTAAATTAATAGTGATAAATAGTAATAGCAATAGTAATAATAGTATAGTAATGGTATATTATATTAATAATATAGTAATAAATAGTAATAGCATAGTATAGCAATAGTATAGTAATTTAGTAATGGTATAGTAATAGGTATAGTGATAGTAATAAATAGTAATAGCAATAGTAATAGACAGTAATAGTACAGTATATCAATAATATAGTAATAAATACTAATAGCATAGTGTAGCAATGGTATAGTGTAGTAATTTGGTAATAGTATAGGTAATAGATATAGTGCTAGTAATAAATAGTAATAGCAATAGTAATAAACAGTAATAGTATAGTAATAGTATAGTATATCAATAATATAGTAATAAATAGTAATAGCATAGTGTAGCAATAGTATCGTATAGTAATTTATTAATAGTATAGCAATAGTAATAATAGCATAGTATAGGAATAGTATAGTATATTCATAGTAATAGTATAGTATAGTTATAGTATATATAGTGATATAGTAATGCTGTAGTATAGTAATATAATATAGCATGGTATAATTAATATAATATGTAATATGTAATAATAATTTGATCGTTTGAAATATACCCAGCAGGAATCAGAATGCATCTCATAAACAGTTACATGCACAGTTCCATCTCATGCAATAGCTTGTAATTGCTGCTAATTAACCTACTTTTGTTTAGGAATTTTCTCCACCTGTATCTCACGCAGTTGCTTTGGAGTAGCAAAAAGGAAAGATTAAATGGTAGCTGGAAGCAATATGCTTTTGTGTTCTTAACACAACCTTGCAATGTTGGGAGTTATTTAAGTGAGTCAGGGCGGTAGAAATAAGGTTGGAGATTGCAGGATGAACAAGTTCTGCCAAAAATCCTCATTGTTCAAATTCTTTTACATTGTTCACCAGAATATTGAATAGTTTTATTATATTAATGGAAATGTTTTTGGACCTCTCCGAAAAGTGAGCTTCATAAAATGTTTTGGTGTGCATTTGGAACGATTGAAGAAAGTTCATTCTTTGGTTCATTTGGTTTATTGAGATTTTTATTATTATTATTATTATTATTATTATTATTATTATTATTATTATTATTATTATTATTATTATTATTATTATTATCTACTTCTGTTTCTGCATTTCTTGCTCTATGCATTCTTTTAAAATTTTGGCAGCTAGTTAATACCCTGTTCTGGAAATAGCTGTAACTTAACTGAAAACGATCACTTTCCCTAAACATTCTTCATTTGTCTCTTTGGCTCAAGCTGAGTTCTTTTTTTAAAAAAAAGGTTTTTTATTTTTTATACATCTCCTCAAGTGAGCAATGTGGTTCCAAACTACAACATTCATGCATAATCATAATTACATTTCCAACTTTCTTATCTAATTTTATATCAAATCATTATCTATTCCATTGATCTTTAAATAAATTCTCACTTCATATCTTCAATTCATTAATCCAATATGAAAAGCATTTCATCCACACATATATTTTCCACTCTTTATCCCCTATTACTGTGTTTCTCACAAAATAAGGCCGGGCATTATTTTTTTTGACCCCCGAAAAAACGGCTAGGCCGTCTTTTCGGGGGTGACTTAATTCCCCCCCTTTGCATCCTCGGGCGGGTGACGACAGCTTGGATGTTGACCTCGGCATTGGTGGGGCACTTTGTATCAGGAGACCTTCCGCCACCGTTGCTTTTCCTTCTCCCCGTGCTGCCGCGGCATTTAGAGCAGGAAGCCTCGCCTGTCAGCTGCGCTGGGCACCCCAGGCGAAACTCTTCATGCTCTGCCCGGCGCCAGGCAGGGATGGTGGCTGGGCGCTTCTCCCGGGGTGGGCCGATCCTGCGCTGCGGCCCCGGGAGATTCACCTCCCCACGTGGGGTTGGGCTGCCCTCTCGGGCAGGAGAGGCTGTCATACTGGTAGTAGGGCATCATTTTTAAAAGAATTGGCTTTGCCTGCGAAGGGAAGGTGGCGACAGGAGCGCCTGAAGCCGAGTGTCTCTGCCGGGCTCCGGTTGCAGGGAGGAGCCCTGCCTGTCTGCCCGTGGCTGCGCCAAATGCCGCGGCGTTGCTCTAAAGGGAGAAGGGAAAGCAACGGTGGCGAAAGGTCTCCTGATACCAAGTGCCCCACCAATGCCGAAGTCAATACAGGCAGCACCATATCCGGGTATGCAACAAAAGTACTTCCTAACGGAAAGCCCCCCCCCCGCTATTCCTCCCCATTTCACATGTTTAATATAGGCCTTAATTTGGGGGCAGGGGCTTAATTTGATTTTATGTATATAAAACATGCTGGGACTTCCTATTGGGGGAGGCCCGATTGTTGGAGAAACAGGGTATTTTCATTTCCAGTTTACCACCTATTTTATTTTACATTATTATCTTCTTTTAACATTCTCAACGCCGATATATAATAAACAAACAAACAAAAAAAGAATAAAATAAAACTAATATATTCAGGATCCACATGATATTTCCCTCAGGCTCAAGCTGAGTTCTGGATGGTTTGAGTTTTTTTGTCATTCGTTTTAAAATTTTTTCCTTTAGAGTCTTTGTCGCTTTCAAAAACAATCTTGGGAACATTGTTTTGACATACAAGAATTCATTTCGTGGCCGTTCAAAATGATAAAGAGCCCTGGAAAAGGTGACTTAATGGCCAGGGATTTCAACCGGTATAATAACTGGTTCGGTGAGCGCAACCACCCATTTTCAGCTCTTAATACTTACCTTCTACTGCAGCCCCAGGGAGTAAAACAGCTGAGGCGCGGCAGTTGGTGCAAATCAGCTGAGCTGCAAAACACAGAAATAAAGTAGGGACTAGGGCCGTGATGGCGAACCTATGGCATGTGTGCTGGAAGTGGCATGCAAGAAGTCGCCTGGAAGAGCCCCACTGTGCATGCATGCGTACCACCCGCCCGCTGATTGTCAGGTATCTGGCGTCCATACGCCGGGGTGCAAGGATGCACGGGAGATGCACGCGCATGCACAGAGATGCATGGCATGTGGGGGCATCATGCATGCATGGGCACATGGAGGGATTGTGTGCGCGTGCTCAGGGGGTGTGGGGCCTCCCACATGCATTGCCTTCTGGGTGCTGGTGCACGAGTGCGAGCTTGCGCGCAATTTTTGGCACGAGAGCCCCAAAAAGGTTAGCTACCACTGGACTAGGGCAGGGGTGAATGGGTGGGGCCAAATGATCACCAGAACTACCGGTTCACCTAAATCAGTCCGAACCACTGAATCCCACCCCTGCT